AAGATCTCATGAGCTGTGTTATTGTTGACTGGGATGGTGACGCGGGACCACGTACCTCGCTGAAGGCGCACTACATTTTCCTGGACCTCTAACCCCTCTGGTAACTATGGATGTGGATTTGGCTCAAATAGGACATCCTGGTGATCTGGAAGTGGGCCTGCTCTCACACTACACTTAACAGTTTTGGTCTGACCAGCTGGAATACTCAGTAGCTCTCTACCTGTTTTCACTGTACCTTCACCGAGTCCATTCTCTTCACTCTTCATCACTTTCAAAAAAACCTCAGCTTTCTTACAGTCAAAGGAGAATGCCGTGCTGACAGCCTCTGTTACTACACGTAGTGGACCTATGCCCTTTTCTAATAGATGTTCAATCACATTGAATCCAATGATTGGCTCCTCCGCAACTCCATCTTCATGAGCTACCAGCACTGGCACTAGCAGAAGTGAAACTGACAGAAGCGCTCATTTAAGGGTATACTCCCTCTTGTGGCTGAAGGGAGCAACAACACGTTTCTACTACAATGCCTGAGTGCAGGGAGCACAGTGACTCTTAACAACATAAAGCAATGCACATTTTAATATGAACATGAACTGCTATAATGCAATAAAATTAAATGAAATAAATAATAGTAAATAATATATATGGGTGGTGGCTTTTACAGTATAATTTATTTTATGACCTTGTCCTCACACGTTGGACTTTCCTGGCTGAGGTGTGGAGGCCGTACCTCCACATCCTGACACTGGGAGACGCCGGCGCTCCTCTCCACTACTGTAACTCAATATGAGGAAGAAGTAACTCAACATTTCAGTTGATGTAAACCAACATTTGGATAAAATATTCAACCAACTCGCATTTTAGTCATATGACTCCTTTAAGTGCTGGTAATAGGTCCCATGAAGTAATTCTACATCATATTCCTCTTCTCCTGCTCTTCATCCGCCATCCTTTTTTGAATGTTACATATATTTATTGTTCTTTTCTGTTTGTTTTTTTAAACCAACAGATCCTGTGAGAGATAATAATGATGGTGAGTATTGTTTTTTTTTTATGTCTCACAAGAAACTGAGACTGCAAGTCTTTTTGACTGTTACCTATTGTTAATGGTGCTGTAACCTTTAACTGCACAGTGAAAATGAGAGCTGTAGTAAATTAAATGGTATATATCTATGATATGATATATCTTTGGTCTGTATTTTACGGGCTGGTAGGTAAAAAAAAATCAAATTATTGTTTCAGGCATCCAAATATGCAGAAAAGTTTTGTAGTACCATATCTTTAATATCATATAGTCAGGGTTCCCACAAGTCCTAGAAAAGCTGGAATTTAGACTAGTTTTCCAGTCATGGAAACACCTGGAAAATTACCAAATATCCTAGAAATGTTTAATTGTATTTTATCGGGGCTATGGCTGAATTAATATTAAAGGAAACTTGTAGACCTTTTTCACACCATCAATTTTGACATGAAACATTAGGGTAAACACAGGTGTTACCAATTAACATTACATACCATTCAGGTCAAACAGAGTCAGGGACCATGTTGGTTCACTCTGCATCACTAAGACTGCGTTCACACTGCAGGCAAAAGTGGCCCATATCTGATTTTTTTTTTCTGTCTGAACAGCACAAATCAGATTTTTTCAAATCAGATCCAGGCCACTTTCATATGTGGTCCTATATCGGATACATATCTGATGTTTTGACCTCAGTCTGAACGGTCATGTGGCATTTCATCCAATCATTGAAGTGAGACAGACATTACAATTCTGCTGTGAGATGCGGCAATATCAAAACAATGGACGAAAGTATGGCAGGCACCATTGACATGTGTAGCATCCATATTTACTTATATTATTATAATTATTTATTATTTATCCTATATTTATTTATTCTGCGCATGTGGGTCACTTACGGGCCGTAGACTGTTCACATTGGAGTATGATGGGGGTCGCATTTAAATTATTATGTGAACAACCACACAAAAAAAGTCCTGCAGTGTGACTGTAGCCTAAATGGAACAGAGCCTATCAAGTCAAACTGTGTCACACTGGTGTGTTATTTAGCCTTCCTTCATTAATATAAGTGTGGTTGTTCAGTACAATTCAACAGCACCACAAACTACATCCTCTAAAAATTACCATGCAGTTGAATCAACCTCTCTCTGAACACTATAACCTTCATGAAGGGAGGATTTATTGCAGCACTGTGTACACTGCATTAGCTTTAGCTAGCTGTTCCTAATAAACTGGCAACTCAGTGTAATTCAGATTTCAATTAATTAAAAACACATTTTAGTTAAAAAAAACACATTATTTCATAATATTTGATAACATTAATTAAAAAGGTGTCTGTGTCTGTTCCCACGCTGTAGAAAATTTTTCCTCTACACAGACAGTAGAAACCACACTGCGCCTTCTTCTCCATTTCAACCAAATTAATCACCATCCTCAATCGGCAAGTCATGATGAAGAGACACACTTAATTTAAACACTGGACATTTTCTCAGAGGCAGTAAGAATTCACAGAAGGGCTTTTTTTAAACCTTTATAGAAAAGCAACTGATGAGATAAATTTGAGCTGTTCTTCTCAGTCAATGGTCGACCTACTTGTCAGTTCGTCTCAACAACTACTGGACAGATGTTGTTGATAGCTGTGGATATTAACGGCCTGAAGAGTAAGAATCTCAAGGATTCTGATGACCACCAATCTCTCTCTCATAAAAAGTCCCCCTTAAAACCTCTTATACTCTTATATTTTTGTTATCTCTCTCACCTCTTACTGAGTGGAAGACCTGAAATCAGTTTTCCATCAGGGATCTGAGGAGCGGTGTCTGTGGGCAGTGGAGCAGGGCAGTTTGTCGGGGAGTTGCTCCAGTTGATGGCTCAGGTGAGTCCTAAACCATCCCTTAGTTATGCTGCTATAGGCCTATACTGCCTTCCCATGATGCACTGAGCTCCTCTCTTCCTCTCTCTCTCTTTATGCACATGACATGCTCATGTCCCATTAATGCATGTTACTGACTTCACTTCTTCCCCAGGGCTCACACATAAAACTAGTGACGAATAATCCTCATGCATGAATCATACATCAATAGTAGCCTAATGATGCTGAAGATAAAGGTTAAGATAGGTTTCGACCTTGTCTGCCTAACTATCTGTAAGCCTTTTGTGATTAAAGGTACAAACTAATTTCAATTGGAAAGTCCCCAGTTCTCAGTTTGCTCCTTCCATAAACCTGAGTCATCCACTGAGTGTTGATTTTTTTAGATGTGACTCTAAAGAATACTTACCTTTCAAAACTCTGCGTAAGAATGTCTTTATTGTGTTGTTCCTGCTGTGTTTGAGTTCAAAATTCTTTCAAACAGAGCAGCAGCTCTCTGACTGGCTTCATAACGTTAAAAGAAGATAAAAACCAAACCTGCACATGCTGCAAAAATCCTACATGTACCTGTAAACATCCAGTGGTACACAGAACAAGATAACACAAGATAAGATGTTATTGATCCCTCATAGGGGAAATTCTATATATACACTCTATACAAGTGGAATATAATAAGCCTGTGTTTATCTGTACATGTGCAATGTTTCGCTGATACAGACTGGGGGAACAGTCATAGTAGAAATAGTGCACAGGTTGAAGGACCTGAGCCTCCTCAGAAAGAACAGTCTTTCTTTCCGGTTGTATATCTGAGTCGCATTTTGGTTCCGTTCAGAGCCTGTTGCCTGTCGCATTGTTTACTTGTGTATATTGTCCTTAAAAAAGTAACAATATAAAAAATGTGTTTTTCTCTGCTTAAAGTTTCCTGTAACCTGACTCTGTCTGTGTTGATGTAGCATGAAACTGAAAGATGATTTCTCTCCCCCTTTTGGCTCTGATCCTGTGTCTGCTGCGGTCGTTTGGGGCTCCGGTTATGTTAAAAAGATCCATTCAGTCAGTTGAGTTAGTGCTTCCACTCTGCAGAGGCTCTGTTCAGGTAGCTTTCCCCACCTGTTGAACTGATCCTGTGTGTTGCATCCCACACCAGAGGTGGTAAGTTTATATATATTCATACTTACATTTATATTATATTTAACCATGTGAGCGTATCTTATTTTATTCACAGGTTCATCTGATGACTACTGCTGTTCTGCTCCTTGTTTATTTTGTTTCATTGTTGTTTTTCTGCATAAGTTTTCTTTTTTCAGTGAAGCAGAGCACCATATTGTGACTGATAAATGTACTTTTACTTTTATTAATATGGTTAACCAATGGTTGTAGAGGTTGTATTAGGCCTTTTTTGTAGAATAATTGAAATAAATGAAGGTATTTCATCCGTCTTACCTCAGTAACAAGCTTACGTGCCTTCATTAATAATCCAAATAACAGAGTGATTATAATTATTTCCAGTGTTGTTGGTCCTTTTCGTTCTCCTCCTCCTTCCATGTACTTAGAGAGGCTATTATGTGCTAGGCTATGCTTTGTGCTTGTTTGACACCACATTTTGAAGATGGTTCAAAGATAAAAGTTGCTGATTTGGTGGTTCAGTCCCATTTACAGAAGCACACACACAGAATGGACAGATAGCAGACCACGAGGAGACATTAGCTGAATGGATTGGATTAAAATCGCTGACTCCACCTTTAATGTATTTCTGTCTCCATTTTAATTCTGTTTTCTTTGGAGAACTACATCTTGCTGCTAGCTTTTGGTGTCACTACAGCCCGTAGGATATGGATATTCTGAGCCAAAAACTGATTTTAAAGGGAATAAATTCACCGATTACCAATATGGTGGCTGATTTTTATTTATTTTTTAGCTTGAGTCAAAATAGACTATGCAAAGGTACTGAAGGTTTCTTAAACAAATAACTATATTATAATTTAATTATTCTTTCACATGTTAAATATTGGGCTACATTGGTCAATTCTAGGACTGAACACTGTGAAAATAAATAAAAACATTACATTTGAGCCGAACACTACAAAATGTAAACGTTTAGGCCCCAAGTGTCTGTTTTTCTCATGAACAGCAAGAAAAAAACAGGAAGTTTGGTTTCAAAGTGAATCAACTAGTCATCCTCCAAGCAGAAGTCTTCATCTTATCTTTATTTCTTCATGACTCAGCTGCTGGTTAGCACTGTCATCTTACAGAGAAAAGGGCCGGCTGTGGCCTTTCTCTGGGGAGTTTGCAGGTTCTCACCTGATTGTGTCCTCCGAGTGCTCCGGCTACCTCTTACGAGTCAGTTGGTGACTCTAAATGGCCCGTAGGTGTGAATGTGAGCGTGAATGTTCATCTGTTGGCCCTGTGATGAAATGGTGACCTGTTCATGGTGTACCCCGCCTCTTGCCAATGTCAGGTAAGACCGGTTCCAGCCCCCCTGTGACCCTGCAAGAGATTCAGTTGTAGATAATGAATAATGGACAACCCTATAGTTTGTTCCCACTCAGTTTGTTGACTGTTGTTGACTGCCCCTCCTCTCTGATATAAAGGCCTGATTTCTTACATCTTACAGTCGACACAATGACGTTTGCTTTTTGAGCCAAATGGATGTGGTCTCTGTGACGTCACCCATGGGTTTCTGAAGAGCAATTGTAAAGCTCAGTGTGGTCGGCTCTGGTTGTCACCATCTTGGCAGTCCTGACTCAGACGGCTCCCGGCTGATACAGCAATGGGCAAAGATGCGGAGCTGAATGAGGCCTTAATCTCTTAATTTTGCATAACTTTAAGTCTTAATATAATTTAAACAGGTGAGTTGTATAAAAATGTACCCCCAGTACAGTCGTCATGAATGGGGAAATTAGCTGCAGAGACCAAAACCATTCTTTGTAACAGGCTGTAAACATGTTTATTTCTGCTGTACATTTTAATATGAGGCCTTATGGAGATTGACTCCCTGCTGGAGCCGGCCTCTAGTGGCCGTTAGAGGAACTGCAGAGCAGCAAGTAAAGATTATTGTCAATATTGATGAATCTGTAGATATTTTATTGGATTATACGCTGTGTGAATAAAATGTATAGAACAGTGAGGTCAGTCACAATTTCTCAGAGCCCAAGGGGACGTTTGCTTGTTTTGTCCGACCAACAGTCAAAAACCCAAAAATAACAAAGAAGTCCACCAGGAAGAAGAATGTTTAATAACTTTTCTTGACTTTCTTGAATGACTTAACTGATCAACTAATAATCAAAAGAGTTGCTGAATAATTCTCTGTTTCTGTGTTTCTATGTGAACTCTCAGAGGAGAAGCTTTTCTAGAAAGGTTTTATTTGCAGTTTTTTCAACCAGAAACATCTTCAGTGAGGTCTAAATCAACTACACTACACATGGTTCTGTATACAGAAATCTAGAAACAATTTTAAGTTTATAGTAACAATTTATATATCCATATTGTTCTTTGTATCTCTATTGGCCTGTAAATGTGTTTGCTGCATGAGTATGTCTGTATATATACTGTACATATACTGTATATATACATTATATGAGCATCACAGTTCTTCACTCTGGAACGAAGAAATCTTAACTCAAAGTCGGCCTTTTCATACAGTTTTCAACCTCAAAAACTTCATGAACACAGTTTAAAGGTCTTTGAAAAACTAATAATTATTGTTTGAGGTGATTTGTTTCCCCAGTGATGGTTTATTTAAGGTCTGCTGTATTTTCCACATACATCCTTGCGTGGTTTCGACAAGGTGCTCAGTACTATAATGCCTCCAAGCCGATGGCATTATTTCTTCAGATTTTCCATCCGTCCCATTCTTGTGAACTCCTTGAGGGAATTTCTTCAAACTTTGCACAAATGTTTACTAGGACTCAAGGACAAACTGATTAGAATTAGGTGGTCGAAGGTCGACTTCACTGCTATAGACGAGTTGAAACTGCGCAGCCAATGAGAGCAGCTCAACTCGCAGTACGTCACCGCCACTGGCTCCAACAAACTGTCGACGGCCATAAAGCCAAGGACGTCACAATAGGTTCACACTTGGTTTACAGCAGAAAGGAGGGACTGGGAGACCCATGTNNTAACGCCAAAGTCGAGGCTTCAAAACAGTTCTCCTCAAACCGATGGGTGACAAAAGATTTACACTTGTTTTTTAGCCATACTTGAGGAATAAATAGATGCCAGATTTGATATCACATACATTGACAGGCAGTAAACAATAACTAGCACAGTATAGACTTTGCACATTGATGCACGTGGGGAGTGAAG